TGTTTTATCTATTATTGTGAGGAAGGGTCCATCAGATCGGTTTGAAGAGATCATGAAACTATTGCTCGGTTACCTGAGTTAAACGTTCACTACGTCAGAACTTATTTGTAAAGTGTTTCCATCTCCCTTTGAGAGCTTCTCTTTTTAGAAAAAAGGCAAAAACCAACTTAAGCTAACGTAAAAACTTTTTTTCTGAAATTGAGGAAGTTACTTACTTACTTCAAATTGCGTATAAAATACATTGATGAAAACACAGCTACTAAAGACACTTCACCTCTTTGATGTTACACTGTGTGGAGGACCAGTTTAAGCTCCACTCACAGTGTATATGTGTACGGCTTCACATCTGTTGACTACAGTTAGTCTATTAACAACTGCATCAGATCAGGCTGATCTGTCACATCGTTTAATCCTGTCCTGAAAGCAGTGGTGCCACTGGAATTTTCACACACACGCATACACACACACACACACACACACACTCAGTCTGACAGCTGCTGTGATCTGAGAAGCCATGGATCGCCTTTTATTGCCCTAGCGCTCAGGTTCCTCTTTCATGTGCCCCTCTGGCCTCAGGGGCACTTCCCGTGTGTGTGAGTGTGTGTGTGTGAGTGGAGGTGCAGGGCTCATTCCTGGCCTTCAATGCGCTTCATTACTACCACACAGCGCTTCAGCCTGCCCAACAACACATCAGAGAGACTGGGGAAAGTAGGAGGAGAGAGGAGAGGGAGGTGAAAAGATGAAAGAATTGACAATGAGTAAGACAGAGACAAACGGAGAGGAGAAAGATGGAGACAGGATGTGAGGGGGTGAAACTGACAGAGGAGTGTAGGTAGGTGCTGAAAATCTGAAAAAGAAATTAGCAGAGAGAAAGAGAGAGAGATTGGGGAAAGGTGGGCTAATATGATGGAGAGGGAGCGATAGGAAGAGATACAAGAAGAGAAAGTGAGTTGGTTTGTGTTGTTTGTTTGAAGCTGTTCTCACAAAGAGCTTTGAACCAATAACACTAATGAAGCACAGAAACTGCTGCAAAACCCAGCAGGAGAACTGAGACTTTTGTTGGAACTAAACACACACACAAACACTCAGGAACAAACAAGATGTGGAACTGGAAAGCAAGCTGGGAGTGTTTTATAGATTCCTAAAGAGCAAACTACATATATAACACTCCTTGTCAGTGTCTAAATATGAATATTCCAAAAGTCATTTTCTGACCTATCACCAGTATAGTTAAAGGCTTGAGGATTTTCCTTAAAAAACAATGTATAGACGAATACAAAAATAATCCCTCTCAGTCATCACTTATGACCCACTAGAAGTGTGTGCTGGTGTCTGTATCTGCAGAGAGCCTGCCCCCGTCTGTATTTTCTTATTGTTTTTCTGTGTTCAGGACGTTTCTGGGCGTCAGCCCTTTGGCAGTGCGTAGAGTGTGAGGACTCTATAACAACGTAGCGACGGTCTGTGTCCGTATGACTGAGGGTGGGGCTGAGCTACACATGTGCAGATCCGCAGCAGACAGGATGAAGCTTGCGCTTCGGCTGCCTTTCATACAAAATCTGGCAAGGTAGCTCCTTCCCGCAGGGTTGTGTAGAGGTGTGGAATATAAGCACTGTGTGTGTTTTCAAACTTATAGTTTGAAAAATTCTGGTGGTGTGGAGTTAGAAATACGTGACCTCTGTAGCCCGCTCATCTCTGCTGCAGGCTAGAAGTTCCAGGCTACATTAGCCGCTGCTAGCATAACACACCTGAACCTCCAGCCGAACTGTAGTTATGTAATGTGTCATTGTCAAAGAAGAATGTGTGGAACAAAACAGAGGATGTCTCTGGATCTGCTGCAGTGATTTTAAACTGTCTGTTGTGAGTCGAAAATTGCTATAGGAGATATAAATCTACTCTTTTAGGGTTAGAAAATTGTAGATTGGGGCCATGTTAAAGGAGAAAAATTTTCAATTTCTGGTGTCAAAGTCAGACAGTTTCTGCTTTTAGATTTTTGAATATTGTACACAGCCTTAATTTATATTTTTATTTTTGTTAAAAAGCTTTCCTATTTTCTGATCTTTTCCTATTTTAATTAGCTAAACATGCAACTCTCGACACGTTGACTTGACTTGATATATTCAGCATAATGTTCATTAATTCCATCAGCACAACAACAGAGTCACATAATACTCACCGCTCTGCTGCTCTCAATTTCTCTTCTCTTACAGAATTAGTCGTCATTCGCTGATTAGTTTCAGTCGTTTCAGACATTTTTTAATCGAAGTTAAGTTACCATCAAGTTTCACATTAAAAGCAACTCAAAGGGCATAATCCTTCCATTGCCTGGTAGGCTTTTATTTTGAAACATCTGCAAGAAGTGTTGAGCTTTATTGACGGTAGTATTGATGAGTAGTGTGAACATGATACCATATTATTATTATTACTTCATTATTATTCATATATTACCTAACTATTACATCTTAAAATGACCCTATTATCACACTTTAATTGCAAAGTTAGCCCATTTTTTTAGTGTTCTTGCAATCTATTACTCCATTGTTACCTTGTTATTACTGGGGAAATATATTTGTGTTTGCACTGCGAATAGTGTATTATACATATATAGATAACAAAAACATTTTTCCAAGTAATGTCTATTATGTTTTTTTCAGTCAGTTTCACTACCAGCAGTATCACACAGTGCAGAAGAGGTTTGACAGGCAGGCATAAAAGAAGAGAATGGATTTAACTTGTTTACACGCAAACATCAAGCTTCTTATTTGTGGGCAGGCTACACACACACAAACATACACACACACCACGGACTGAGTTCATCTGTTTTTTGCCATGCTATAGAAAAAATGCACAGATCTTTATTATTGTACTGTTATATTATTAAAACTAGACATTTATTTCAATAATTTGTTGTCTTTTCTGGAGGAAGCGCTCAAAGACTCTATATACATATGATAATGTTTAATCTACTTCTGACAGCACCTGGATCAGCCTTCAAACCCAAACACAAAAACAACATGGAGAGCAAACATACATATGTACCTGTAGTCTTTCTGTGCCCATCTGACTTCATAGTGTTCTCAGAAAATGTCCTCAGAGCACATTTTAACAGAATGAGGGACCAATGTGAAACCATGGAAACAAACCAGACAAAAACTCTGCTGGCTGAATCACTCGGGCACAATTACTCTGCTGCTTCAACCTTCTCCATTCTGTTGTTTTTCTCTCCCTTTCTCGTTCCTGTCTTCATTGCCACTGAGAAATGTAGCAATAAGGTTTCCATATTTTACTGTAGCAGATGTGAAGTATTGAAAAGAGCCACAGTGTTTATATATATACTTTTATATGTACATACATACATATTTAAATATATTTATCTATAAAGCCCAAACTCACCAATGATGTGTTAGTCCGTCTCTGTCACTAATTTCTGACTTTCCAACCCTGACTGTGGCTCTCAGCTCCAAGCCCATTGGTTTCTACTGAAGATGTAAATCTTTCAAAAACATCTCACAAATATTAGAGATATTCCACTATTTTTTCCTTCCCAATAAAAAAATCTGATACCTGTACTTTGTGTTAACCCCTTTGTAAAACATAAACAAATGCACACGGAATAAATGCCATAAAACTGTCTGTTTCTAAAACTATTTAATATCTAGTTTGACAGTCAGTCAGGTTCCCGTTTCAGGGATACTAAATAACATGGTATTGGATCAGTGCACAGACACGAAGTAACTGGTTAATTTTAGGCAGTATTGGAGGCAACTCTAACAAATATATTTGTTTCATTAAAAAAATCACTTCCCTAAAACAGCTGCTCACTGTAGTTGTAGCCCCATCTGTTGGGGAAATTTGTACGTGGGATTGAGTCAAAATAAACTACAGTGTGTGTTAATGGCAATGAAGTAACACCAGTACAGTAGTCATGTTTTTAGAAGTTGCGCGACAATAATGGAGCTCTGTGGCACAGAGGAATAATCCTATCATATAATATTCACATATCTAATATGATACATAAATATAATAATATCAGGCTTTGGATACACACATTATACTTATTAGTAGGGTCAGTTCACTGAACCCTAGCCCGAGCAGTGAGGTCCAGTCACAATTTAGTAACCATAACTAGGCACAGCAGGCCTGACAAACTTTGAATTTCTCAACACACAGAAGGGTAAAACTGATACTGACATAAAAAGAGTTATTAGGACGGTGTCTTTTCTAGCGTTTCCGAAACCAAAAACACGAGCACAGGGGTATAAGGAATGGAATAAACTGTTTGTCTTGTGTAACGTAAGCTATACTATATTGTAAATTAAGTACAAATATAAATATAGTATTTGTATAGTATAAAGTGTAATAAGAGGCAGAGTGTAATTCCCACTCTTCATTTCTCCTCAAGACATGAATTTCACCTGACTTCAAATGGAGTTAAATGTTTAATTCGAGGCACATCAGTGCTGAGTTCAGGACTAATATGAGTGATAAAAGTACTCAACCAGCAGAAGTATGTCAATTTATTTCTGTCGTTTGATCAAACTAAAAACAAGTGATCCCATATGAATCCTCAGAAAAATATTGATACAATTTCATTGGGTACACGTAAAGAGATCATTAAGCCTATAAAAAATTTTGCATAAGAATTCAAAATAGATTATTATTAGAATTGGCAGGACTAGATCAGCAACAGTTCCGTTAGTTTGCACTTGAATGCTTTCAAATGTGAGCTGAACAGGTCTGATTAGTTTGACACATCATGAAAAAGGAGTATAACCACTTGAATACAGCTTCATATCCTTTAGGTTCCTAGTGATGCTTCTGTTTTGTTCTATTTTGATCAAGCAGGGGGTGTGCAGCACATCAGTGCCCTGCAATTTTGCAGAAAAAAAGTTTTGAGAAAGTTTGCCAGCCTTTGTTTTTCTTCTACATTGTCTCTACTTTCCATTACTGAGTAAAAACAGTTGTTGTACATAATACATTTTTATGTGTTTGTTTTTCCTCAGCTGGAGAAGAAAGAGGTGACGCCACCCTTCAAACCTCAAATCTCTGACGACTATGGCCTCGAAAACTTTGACACGCAGTTTACTAATGAACCAGTGCAGCTAACACCCGATGATGAGTAAGTTCTGCTTCTCCAACTCACATCACTGACATCATTAAAGTCAACCTCATGTGAATAATTTAGAGCACTCTTTTCATACGTGTGTCAGGCAAGTGAAAACTACACACTTTGTACAGATCCATTTGCAGAGACTTTTCAGAGAAATTTGCTTTAGGTCATACACTACAATAAACTGTCTGTTTTCTTTAGGTCTCTGCAAGTTGATTTTGATAGAATAGTGAAATAAATAGAAGTCAGTAACTTCCCGAAGAGTAGAAAAACAATTTGACATCTAACCATTGACAGCCCTCTTGACTTAAACTGAAGTTTTAATTAGTCTTACTTTGTGCGTAAGGAATTTATTTCCTTTTTTTGACATATTTTTCTATATTCAAATTATTATTTTTATGATTTGTGGAAACCCCCTCTAAGCCTCAGTAAGGGTTAAATTAAATCCTACAATGTTAGCATAGTATGCCCCACGACATGCAACATGTGAACGGTCTTAAGAACATTGATGCAAGGTGTTTTTTACTTCTTCATTAGGTCCACATAGCGTTGGTGATTTAAGATGTCTGTCCTTTTATAATTCAACATTTTGCAGGACCATCATGCTGTCAGGTTGGTAATCCTCTCAGGAAACAGCAGAGCCCAGTGCTATGTTCGTTTCATGGTATAAAAAGGAGGGGACTAGCTTGTGTTAACTGTTTCTGTTTTATGGATCCAGATGTGGTGATGAACTGAACTCACAGCAATGGACAGTCTTGTAACACTCTGTATGTTACCCACTGATTCAGATCGCAGAGTCACGTAGTACCGTGCACAGAGCTGAAGTCATACATGGGGCTAAGCAATGTGCAACAATATCGGCCCCCAGCTAAGTCAAAACAACAAAGTAGCGTAAATTAAACTCTGAGGGCTGTTGACAATGAAGTGATCAATTGAACTAATGCTATTACAGTATTGGCATCATTCTGTACCAAGATGTACAGCCACTGGAAATAACAATATAAGGGCACTATCAGTGCAGAAAATAATAATAATAAGATATCTACTGATTTCTTAGCAAAAATGCTTTTCAGTTTCAGTTTGGAGTATGTTCATAATATATGTTTACTTGCTTTTTATTTTAATATATTTAATATATTCTAACTAGAAAATTCAAATTTGTGTTTTACTTTTGAATGTCACAATAATAAAACAAAGCATCATACCACAGCCAGGTTGTTGGTCAGTGACACTTCTTGGAGCTGAGCAGTGGCCATCAGGACTAAACTGTGTGTGTGTCTTGGCAGGTGTGAGTGTGTCCAGCTGTAAAGGTATAAGTGATCAGTAGAACCTGTCATGGCTTAAACAGAGATAAAAAAAAATAAACGATTTTACATCCACAAACAGTGGATGATGTGCAATCTTCCAAGAAGACTTCTGCATTCAATAAAGAAACCCCCCCACAAGTTCCCAACATTGACATCTTTATCAATCAGGGACATTGTTTTGATTAATGCAAACATGGATGTCAGGATCTGACAGAAGTCCTTGTTTAAGCTTTAGCTTTGGAGAGAAAAGGCTGCAGAGATCTGGCACAACAACAGACACAGTGCAGGCTCCGCTGCTGCAGACTGTCTGCAGCAACAGCACGGAAACACAAGCATGGCCTGTTTTCCTCTGTGCCATCACAAAATAGATTCCATAAGGCTTTGGCAGGCCCTGCCAATAGATATTACCAGGCTTATGTAAGACAACATTTTCATTTGAATCCATGCTGGATTGATTTTTTAGGCTCCAGTGTTTATATTTTTCCTGCAAAACTTTTATTGAACTGATTTTGCAATGGACTGCTCATACACAGAAGCTGAACTGAATATGTACCACGCCCAATTGTCATCAGTAATAATAGGACATGTACTAAGATTTAAAAAAAAAAAAAAAAGGATTGTTATCTCCAACAGTCCTGTACATAGAAAAATATGGGAGGGGAATGTCCTGTGTTTGTGCTTGTGAATTATGTATTTCTATTTCACACACAAGGCAATTTGTGAGTATTACAAAGTATGGTGCATCAAAAATGTTGATCCTGGGCGCCCAGTTAGCTCAGGTGAGGTAGAGCTGGCGACCATGTACGCCGAGGTGAGTCGCTTGCTGCCTCGGCCCAGGGTTCGAATCCGACCTGCGGCTACTTCCCTCTTCCCTGCTGCGTGGCTCATGTCCTCTCTCTGCCCCTGCGCGCCTGTCTATCTCAGCTTGTCGGATATTAAAGGCAATTAAGCCAAAGCACATACCTTAAAAAAAAAAAAGTTCATCCTTTTCATCAGTGAAAGATCATGGACAGGCCACTGGAGAGAAACACTCACGTTCAAGTTCAATGCACTGTTCAGTTTGTTTAGTTTTATAGAATTATTAGCTTACCGTGATATTTTTGGCCACAAGAATGGTAGCATGAAAATTTTATCCCGTCACATATTTAATCACTACACCTGTGAGTCTGGCAGGTAGCTGTAAAGGATTCAGTATGCTAGAAAGGTCATATGACCACATCTAGAGTCAAAGATTGTCTGTACCTGTTTTGAATGTCCACACTGGAAGGCAGGGTGAAAAGCCCGTTTTCAAAACACTACTGTCCTGATCTCTCTAAGGGCAGTGTGTCTTTTGCTGAACCAGGGATAAAGCTTACACTATCAGACTAGACATACAAACCAGTCTCTATATGCTTACTCAATAGAGACTGAGGATTGGCATTGCTAAAACTGAATGAAAACAAGTATAGTTAAAAAAAACAAAAAAAAAAACAATGCAAAGTCTTTGTGCCGGTGACATGCGGAAGTTGCACGCTTGTGAAGACTGTCGTACCGTATAACATCTGTTGGTGACTGCTGACTTCTCTTGATCATCTGGTATCGCGAGACCATCGGACAGTCTTTACCCTGAAGGTATTAGTAGAATAATATTGTTGTTTGTGGTTGCCTGGGTGGCCTCACCTGGTGGAACTGGCACCCCATGTGCTGGGGTTCAGTCTATGCAGCAGCAGCCATGTGTTCGAGTCTGACCTATGAAAGAAAAAGGAGAGAAGACTGTTGTTTGAAGAATGAAAACAGAGAGTCAGTCACATGTGAGCATGATTGTTGGATTAAGGGTTTCGGAAGGTATAAAAATAGTTGGACACAATCTAGAAAGGGAGGATTTCAGATTAGGGTTGGGCAACTGGACCAATATATCAGCTATCCGATTGGAGTACATTTTTTGGGGGAAATATCTGACATTCTGTTATTGTTTTTCCTAATTTATTAGTCTGCCTCCGAAGAAGGAGGCTCAGCGACAGACATTCAGCAGCACAGTACAGCACAGTAAACACACTGAGCCAAAGAACAAGTGAGAGGAAAGAATACTTTCACATCTAACTGGGGTGAATTAGAGGTGTTTTCTTTTTAGTATTGTTTTTTGGGGCCTTTTCCCTTTATTGAATAGGACAACTGAAGATAGACAGGAAAGGGGGTCGAGTGAGGGGATGACATGCAGCAGGTTGTGGGGGCCCACAGGTCGGATTTAAAGCCTGGATTTGACCAGTTTGACAACAAGGAATACAGTTACAAGGTGATTTACAGCAGCTCCGACTAGGACTCTGACTTTTGTGCTGGAGCACATCGATAGACATAGACTCCAGAGTTAGTGAGAGTTAGTGGGAACAGTGGAAAGACTAACAAAGATAGTTTTGAATGAAAGTTTTTTAAATGAAGTGTGTTTTAAGATGAGTTAACAAGGCAGTTAGGCTAGTCTATTTGAACATATCACCCAGCCCTATTCCAGATGCTATTTGGTGATCAGAAAAGCACTTAGTTCGAAGAATAATGAATCTTTAAGATCTAGGCAACACAGGACACACAAGGTAGCGCTGCTGCAGTTTAACATCTTTGCTCTCTCCATAGGAGAACAATAGATCACAGCGGTTCACAGCAGGTGTGGGACTGAGAGCCTTATTGCTGTTGTCTGTTAATCATCTATACCTCCTATCATTTCTGATGGTGCCCTTCAAGCTGTCAGTGTTTGGTATAATCACCATCAGTTCAGCAAGTGGTTGACGGCGCCATGCTTAGTAGCTGACATGGGCACCATCAGGGTTTTTCACTGCTTGTGCAACTTAAGGCTTTTGAACACATACAGCAATAACTACATCATTGTGAAATGGCACGGCATGGAGCAACAGTGTTAATTGGAGCCATATTAAATTCCCTTCATACTCTGCACCGATGACAGATGTCTTTGGGTAGTTGCTGTACACCTCTGCTGTTCACTATGCACCGATCTTCAAACCAGCCTCGGTCTGGGTGAGCCTCGCAGCTCATTAAGGGCCTAAGTGTAAGCATAAGGGGCAGTGAGACAGCTCTGAAGCTCATTTGTGATGGGGTTTGACAACGGGAGTCCGTGACAGACTTTAGAGGGGGCAATTGTGGAAGAGGCTGGGGTGGTACAGGCAGGGAAGGAGGGAGGGAGATGAGTGGGAGAGCAGGGTGGAGAGCACACTGCCAGTTCAGTAGTGGAGATATCAACCTGGCATCAAACACCACGGCACATCAAAAGAAGACGCACGCCTCCTCCCTGCGTCTCGCACTTTATCTCCCCACCCCTCTCTCTTCCCTCCGTTACCAAGGAGAGGGGCTGATGTCGCCCACTCCCGCTAGGAGGGGGTGATGCAAAAAGCTCTGCAGTCTCCCCTCTCTCCCACTCTTGATGGGTTTGGCACGAGAAGAAAGAGAAGTGAGAGCCGTGTAGGGAGAGAGAAGGGTAAACCCTCCATGTTAGAGATTTACATTGCGACATTAAAAGCCAGGATTGCTGGGGGCCCTTGCCAGAATGGTGAGGGGTGGGGGGGAGGGAGAGAGGCTTTAGTTTTTCTATGCTGTCTTAGAAAATGACAGCCTCAGCCAGTACCCAGAGAATCATACTTTCTTCTTCTGTAGCCTTGGTCCTTGGTGGTTGTTTTCAGGGACATGAATATGGTAGCTAGGACCACAATTCTGCTCTAGTCTGTCTAGTGAACCTGTTGCATATTGTAGCACTGAATGTGCTGTGTTTTGGGAAATCAATTCATTCATAAACTCATATATTCTTCTTTCCCCTAATTTATTTATTTCCTTTAAATAACAGCCTGCAGCTCAGGAACAGTAAGTATCGAGCATATTTAGCATAAGGTTCTCTATAGACCCTTGTTGTCAATTCACAGACTCCAGAGTTCTAGATCTGGATGCATATTATGCACACAGGCCGTGTGAGCAGCGCAGCTCAGGCGTTTCATCTACAGCACTGGCTCCCAACCTTTTTTTTTTCATATGTTCCCCCACAGTCCTGTCAGATGAACACAGATGATATGTTCCAAATGTGTTCATTTGAATTGAACGCTAATGACTATAAAAGTGAATATTATTGGAATATGTTTATATTCCAATGTTCTAATATACAGTTGAACTGTCTGTCTACTATTTCTGGTACAAGCTTGATATTGATAATGTTTTATCTAACTATTTATCCATTATTCTTGTCTTTTTTTTAACCATTTATCTGTTACTTTCAGCTAGTTTGACCATTTATCTATTTTTCAATCATTTATACATTTATAGCTAACTATTTTGACAATTTATCCATTACTTCTAGCTATTTTAAACATTTATCCATTACTCTATTTAGACTTCTCTGCTCACTTACTAAGTGTTGTTCACACACTCAATATGTTGATACATGTTTTTAATTCAATTATAATTAATCTTTTTTCAAGTAAGTTTCTCCACAATATTTTCACGTACCCCCTGGCATCTACACAAGTACGCCCTGGGGTACACATACCCCTGGCTGGGAATCAGTGATGTAGAGATACAGGTTGTCCCCTACTTCCATGTGACATTCACAGCAGGAATAAGTGAAAATGATCTATTGATAGTCATATTGACATCACACCATCATCATTTCACCTTTCACTACAGTTAATGTCTGTATCAGTAGAATATGTTGCATTGATAAAAAATTATTCAAGTTTTGTTTTCTTAAATATATTTTTTACCTCAACACTTCCTGTATCCGTTAAAAGCCCTCTAGCATTTCTATGTGCAGAATCCCTTCATTTGTTCACAAGGCCAGCATTGATGCTCATTATCAAAGGCAAACTCAATGTAGAAAGAGAGCTGGCAGTTGCAGCAGCAACTTACCTGAAACTTTAGTTTTTTTGGTATTTTCTTTCAGGCCTCTTTATTTTTCACTAATTTGCACTAATGAATCGGTGTCATCATTTATTTATTTTTAGTTGAAACATTATAAACTCACACAGATGTGTCCTTAACTCTTTCTTTGTGTCCACTATTAATTAAAGCCCACTCCAGTCAGAAATCAGTGTCTCTTCCTGTCCCAACAGTGTCCAAGGCTAGTTTCCTCCACAATTACAAAATGAATCCAAGGATGGGATGTTAGATTCAAAGTCAGGAGGGGTGACAACAAAAGTAAGGTTGTAACTAATTATTTTTTGGGGAACTGTAATATTATTACTGAAATGTATTAGTAATTACTGCCCAACAGTGCTAATGTC